ATCCAGAACCCACCACTCCTTACTTTCTTGACATGTAATCATCTATCAGTTCCCTTTCTGTATATTCCTTTAATGAGAGAAACTAGACATTTTGAAAGCAAGGTTATTGACAATTTGTCTTCCTTCCTTCCTTCCTTCTTTCCTTCCTTCCTTCCTTCCTTCCTTCCTTCCTTCCTTCCTTTCTCTCTCTTTTTGGTATGTGTATTCCTTGTTTATGTTCTTAGCCAGTTTTCCATTAGAATCTTTTTTCTTATTGATTGGTAAGAACTCTATAAGTATGTAAATATATTAACCTTTTGTAGATCATCTGTGTTGCACATTATTTTCCCCAGTTTCTCAAGTGCCTTTTAATTTTACTTATCTTTTTTATATTTGAAATCTTTTTTATATTTGAAACTCAAGAGCATTAACTGTTATGTAATCAGACTCTGTTATCTTTTTTTGGATTAGGCTATTGGTGTCGTCCTTAATAAGTCATTAATTCTATAATTGTGCAAATTATCCTTATTTTTTCAGTGCCTTGGAGATTTCAGATTTTACGTTGATTTGTTACTTTTAAAATTAGTTTTTACTTTTATTAAAGTAATATGGCCCAAAATGTCAAACTATACTATAACATTTACAGTAGGGTGGGAGGAGCAATCTCTAATCTATTCCCCAGAGGCAACCATCTTGAACTCTTAAATATTATGTTTAACTGTTGTTTGGCTTTATCAAATTTTGGACATTCTCTTTGACTTCCCATTAGATGAGATTTCTTATACTACCTCCTTCCTTTTGCATGCTCCTCCTCCCATATACTCAGTATGATTAAGATGTAGCATTTGTTTAAATCACCATTCAGAATTTATGTAATTTTAACTATTTATTGTTCGATTGCTTTTTTTCTTTGTACAATGCTTTATTTTTCATGTGAAATTTCTATTTGGCATTGAGATTTCTTCTCAAACACTCAAATCCATCTATAAGATCCTGGTTTCAATGCCTTTTATCTGTAATTATTTCTAACATCCAAATTCCTAAGATTGTCTGTTCATTGCATCTTCACTTAACTCAGGAGTTGTATTTTATTTAATTTATTATTTCCAGGAGTGAACATAATAGAACAGACCTATTTCTGAAGCAAATGGAAAGATTTCTAGAGCCTTTTAGCTGATGCAGGTTGCTGATGAGTCCCTGTGCCTCTCCCTTTATTGACATGTATTATGCCAGCTCTGCACACACTTCCATCTCATTGCTCCTTCTGTAAGCTGCAATAAGTCTCCCTTGACAGGCTGCTTAGGGCATTTACAAGACATTTGGCCTTTTGATGACTTGTGCTCTTTGGTTGTGACTTGATGGGCCAGGGTGATCCATCATTTCACAATAATAATGTCAGTGCCTTCCTGAGTGAGCCCAAACCCTTTTGCAGAGTTTGAATAATGTTGAGATCAATGCCTTTTTCTTTTTCTGAGATGGGAAGAGTTGACCTCTGGTCTCTTAAGCACCAGCCTTGGGATGTTGAATGGTTGGAGGCCAAGCCATATTATCCCTCTGTGTACTTAGGAGGAACTTTAGGTTGTTGTTTGTGCTTTCTCCTATGTCCAAAGCTTCTCAGGACTTTGCCTCTGCTGTTCAAAAAAAAGGGGAAAGAGTCATTTTGTAGAGTAAGGAAAGGACATTATTGTGGTAGAGGCAATTGCCTTTTTTAATTCTATTTTGAGAGAAATGATATAATACACAAGTGATAGGAATGTTAGAAAGGTTTTTTAAGAAGATATTCATTCATGTGTAAAGCTAATATTGAGAGGGCAAAGGCTGGAATTATCCCTATTTCTTCCATTTTATTCAGCATGCATGTTACTCCAGGATCACTGGACAAATCTGGAGTAGTCCTGATTAAGGGCACAGTGTGGAAGGATCAATGTGCCTGCAATGCCCACTGTCTTACTCTAGTTTAAGCCACTCTGCCTGATGTTTTTTGCTTCAGGAAATAGCCAGGGTAGTGAGAGGCCTGTGGATGGTGTCGCATGAAAAATAGTCAAAGAGATTGGCAATAGATAGCCAGATAATGAAAGTCTGTCTTTTAATAAAGGAAATAGGTTTTGTTATCTTGCTTTAGAGGGAAGAAGTAGAATTATGGGTTTTGGAAGGAAAGAGTTAATAAAATGAGAGTGGTGCCCTGGAGATAGGTACTCCCTAAAAATGAGGCATCAAGAAGGAGAGGAGAAATCAGAACTGGAAAAGAAGTCCAGGTTGAGGGCTGAGGAAGGACTAGAATGAGGAAGGCAAAAAATAGAAGAGGGCAGCAGGGAGGCTTTTGCAACTCATAAAGTTGAAGTGGATCTCAGTTGAGATGCAGGGGTGACCAAGGATGCAATAAATGTTTTCTCCCAGAGGCACAGAAGCCACCAAGATGTCATTCTGCATTCTCTTTTAGCCACTTTCAGTATGTAACATTCTGGGCAGTATGTTTTATGCTACGATGGTATAAAATTCAACCTCACTAGTCATTAAGGAGATGCAAATTAAAACTACACTGAGATACCACCTAACTCCAGTCAGAATGACCAATATCAATAACTCAAAAAATAACAGATGCTGGAGAGGATGTGGTGAAAAGGGAACACTTGTATACTGTTGGTGGGAGTGTAAACTAGTGCAGCCTCTGTGGAAATCAGTGTGGCGATTCCTAAAAGCTCTAAAAATCGCCCTTCCATATGACCCCACAATCCCCCTACTGGGAATATACCCTGAAGAACTCAAATCACTCTATAAAAAAAGATACCTGCACACGTATGTTTATCGCAGCATTGTTCACAATAGCAAGATCATGGAACCAACCATGCTGTCCATCAAAAGAGGATTAAAAAATGTGGTACATATACACAATGGAATATTACGCAGCCATAAAAAAGAATAAAATCATGAATTTCGCAGCAATCTGGATGGAATTGGAGTTTATAATACTGAGTGATCGCTCACAGAAGCAAAGATCTGAGTATCGCATGTTCTCATTCATAAGTGGACCTTGAACAACTATCATAATACTATAAGAAAAGGATTGACAGTGGCGGGAAACTATGGGGGGGGGACAGGGAGGGGAAAGGAGGTGGGATTAATGGTAGTCAATATCTGTCTGGGGATGGGGGGCATACCTCATCAACAAGGGTACCTGCACAGTGCATATTTGTATACCTAACCCTTAACTGTACCCCACAATTTTAAAATAAAAAATATGTTAAAAAAATTTAACCATCCATGTACATGAGTTGTGTTTTGATGAAAACGGGGAATCCTTAAGTGTGACTTTGGTAGTGACAGAATCCTTAAAACAAATGCTCTGAATAATTGGGTATTAGCACTGACTAAGAAAACTTAAACATCTAAGTCACTTGCTTTTTTATTTTACTTTATTTTTTTTCAGATCAATGGACATTATAAAGGGAAACCTAGATGAAATTTCAAAACCAGCCTCAAGTTCAAGAACACGTCCTGGGAGCAGAAGTTCAAATGCTTCTTTGGAGGTGCTTTCACCAGAACCAGGATCCCTCAAGGTAGTTTACTGTTTTGGAATGATTTAAACTTGCCCCAGCCTCTCAGCCATTGATGAAACAGTTATTAACATCCTATTTTAAGTTTTCTCTTTAGAGGGTGTGTTCAGGGAGTATACAAAGATTCCTTGGACTTTACACTAGATTGTTTAATATGAAAATACTCTGGCTGCTTCTTTTCTCCCTCCTTCCCTCTCTCACCTCCTTTCTTCTTTTAGTTTTTGGAGTGTGATTTATTTTTCCACATTGTACTTTGTGAAGGCTTGTGTGTTGACTTTTCCCCCCAACATCTAATATACTGCCTTTAACTTTTACTATGAAAAAGATTCAGTACTTTAAAAAAATGGTCTGAACCTAGTTCTAGAAGGAACATACCTCACAATAGTAAGCGCCATCTGTAATAAACCCACAGCCAGCATAAGCTAAATGGACAGAAACTGGAAACATTTCCCCTGAAAACCGGAACAAGACATGGCTGCCCACTCTCACCTCTCTTGTTCAACATTGTGTTGGAAGTCCTAGCTAGAGCAGTTAGGCAAGAGAAGGAAATCAGGGGTATCGAAATAGGAAAAGAAGAAGTTATCTCTCTCTGCTGATGATTTGATCCTATACCTCAAAAATCCAAGACCTACTTGCACTCATAAAGGACTTTGGCAGTCTCAGGGTACAGAATAAATGTGCATTCTTATATACCAAGGCAAACTGAGGTAGAGAACCAAATAAAAAGCACAATCCCATTCACAATAACTACACAAAAAACGAAATACCTTGGCATCTTCCTAACCAGAAAAGTGGAAGAACTTTACAATGAAAACTACAAAACACTACAAAGAATTCCAAGAAGATACAAACAAATGGAAAAATATTCCATGCCCATGAATAGGAAGAATCACCATTGTTAAGATGTCCATCCTACCCCAGACAGTCTACATATTCAATGCAATACCCATTAAATTGCCAACATAATTCTTCTCAGACCTGGAAATGACAATACAGAAATTCTTATGGAAACACAATTGCCCAAACAATCCTTAGCAAAAGAAACAAAGGGAGGTATCACACTTCCAGACTTCAAACTTTACTCTAAGCCTACAATAATCAAAACAACCTGGTGTTGGTACAACAATAGGCATGTAGACCAATGGAACAGGATAGAGAATCTGGAAGCAAAACCTCAATTTCTCAACCAACGTATCTTCAACAAAGCCTCCACCAACAACACTGGGGAGAGGAGAACCTGTTCAGTAAATGGTGCTGGGAAAACTGGCTGACTGCATGCAGAAGATTGAAACAGGACTGCTACCTATCACCATACACAAAGATCAACTCTAAATGAATCAAAGACCTAAATGTAAAACCTCAAACTATTAGAACCTTAGAAAATACAGGATATATCCTTTTGGAAATTGCAGCTGACAGCCAATTCCTGATCAAAACCCCAAGTGCCCATACTATAAGAGATAGATAGGTGGGACCTCATCAAACTGAATAGCTTCTGCAAAGCAAAAAGAAACCATCAAGAGAGTGGAGAGACAGCCCACCGACTGGGAAAAAATATTTGCCAACTCTGTATCTGACAAAGGCCTAACATCTAGAATCTACAAGGAACTCAAGCACGTTAAAAGGAAAAAACCAGCCCCATTAAAAAGTAGGCATAAGACATGAATAGATACTTCTCAAAAGAAGATATGAAGGCAGCCAGCAGACACATGAAAAAGTGCTCAGCTTCCCTAATCATCAGAGAAATGCAAATCAAAACCACATTGAGATACCACCTAACCCCAGTAAGAATGGCCATCATTAATAAAACAAATAACAACAAATGCTGGTAATAGGGACGCTTGCTTCTACACTGCTGATGGGAATGCAAACTAGTGCAACCTCTTTGGAAAACAGTGTAGCGATTTCTAAAAGAACTAGACATTGACCTTCCATATGACCCAGTAATCCCTCTACTGGGAATATACTCACAGGAACTCAAATCATTCTACCAAAAAGATGCCTGCACATGTGCGTTCATTGCAGCATTATTCACAATAGCACAAACATGGAACCAACTGTGCTGACCATTGACACTAGACTGGATTAAAAAACGTACATAGACACAATGGAATGTATGCAGCCATGAAGTCAGACAAATATATGGACTTCGCAACAACTTGGATGGATTTAGAATCTATCATACTCCAGTGATCTGTCACAGAAACTTAGAACAGAGTACCGTATGTTCTCACTCATAAGTGGAACATGAACATCTACCATAATACTATAAGAAAGGATTTGGCAGTAGTGGGATACTGCCGGAGTTGGGGTGGGAGGGACACAACATCAATAAGAGTACCTGATCTCAAAACAGGCAAAGTGGGGACCAAAGGGAGGCCCAAACTTTACCTGTGCGATGACCACTTATATACCTAATTCTGAATTGTACCCCACATCTTTAAAATAAAATAAAAATAAATAAATTGTGTAACTCTTCTCGTTTTTTTCCTTTAAAAATCTTTGCTTTCCTTTACTTTCCTGAGTACACATATAGTTTTACGTGGCATATGTATTTCCACTGTAATGCTTTGTTTCCCAGTTCATATCATTTTCTCTTAGAAAGCCTATTTCTGTTATTTAGAATGACCACGAAAAAGTTTATCTCTAAAGTTAATGTATAAAGCATATTTAGAAAATAAAATATTTGCCCTTAGCAATACTATTAAAAAAAAATGGTTTGATAAAGGCCATATGGTGTATCTATAGTAGCTGTATTTCCTGGCCATGACCTTCTTTTCTTTTGTTTAGTAGTCTCTTTTCTTAAAATATCTAAACTTGATTTTTTTTTTTTTTTTGAGTTGGAGTCTCACTCCGTTGCTGAGACTAGTGTGCAGTGGCACGCTCCCGGCCACCGCAAGCCTCAATCTGCTGGGCTCCGGTGATCCTTCTGCCTCAGCCTTCCAAGTAGCCAGAACTACAGGTGCGCTGCCACACCCGGCTAATTTCTGATTTATTGTAGAGACGAGGTCTCGCCAAGTTGCCGGGTGGGTTTTGAACCCGCAGGCTCAGGCAATTCACTCGCCTCGGCCTCCCAAAGCGCTGGGATTACAGGCTGAGCCACCGAGCCTGGCCTAAACTTGATTTTTTAATAGTCAGTTTTGTCATCTGTGATATGGTACAATTTATTCCTTTCAAAGTTGTAGGAAACAAAAATTTTAAAGATTATGGGGAAAAAAATCTTTACAAAGTAATGAATCTATATTCATATTCTTTTGATTTATGGACTATCAAAGATTTTTACACAGCAGAAAATGAGTTTAAAATACTTCTGTAGTGATAATATATTTTTAATTCTAAAAATTTTGGTTTGTTGTTGCTTATGAATATTTTTCTTGAAAGTGCCAATAGTTGTATCTCATGTAAAAATCCCATGGGTTTCAAGTAGAGAATCTAATTGTTAGGAGGGTTTTCATGGCATGTTTATTTTTCCGGGGACTAAGATGGAGGTATGGAATAGGGGACATGGAACAATGAAAAATAGAGGTGGGATGTGGCTTTGAGAATGAAGAAGAAAAAAAACCATGTATATAGGCCACAGGGTAGAAGAGCAAGGGGGATAGGCACAGAGAGGCCAGTGGGCAATGGGACTGAGAAGATGGTTGGTGGCTAGTGGGGTGGGAAACTATGGGTAACACTGTGAAATGCTCCTTTCATTCTTCAGTTTTGCCTTTGTACCTCATAGCTTTCTGCTCATTTTGACTTAGGAGCATATGGGATAATAAGTGTGAAGGGCCTGGGTGCACTCTGAAGTGTGCTGTACAAGTAGGCTACTACCACCTAATTATCTTTTGTGTATTCTGTATTTTTCCATATGAAGCCCATTCTCAGAGAAAAGTCTGCAAAATTCACTTATGCCAAGTTATAAATGACTGATGGAACTCATGTGACTTCTCCCAGAAGTTGTAGCATTTTCACAGAACCATAAAGCCTTAAGAATTAACTGGAGATTGTGGAATTTCAGGCTTTTTCTGGCCTTTGGCAGAAGTATGTTTTCGAACAAGAAATCCTCTTTAACGTTTCTAAGATTACATAAAGCAGCCACTGTTTTGCTTAGTTATAAATTGAGCTTTCATTAGTCTTATTCTCCTGGATCTGTTTTCTTCTCTGTTAATTCAGAGTAGTAACCCTTATACCATATGGTCATTGGGAAGAATGATTGAGGCAGGACATGGTTCTTCAATAAATGGTGGCTGTGATTACTATACCACTGACTCAGCTCAGTTCCACTGGGTTTGTGTCCTAATTCAGGCAGAGAGATGCTTGCATAGTCCTGCATTCCTGGCAGTTTATTCTCGGCACTACCATCTTCTGCCCTGGAGATTCACAAGGGGACTGTAGATTGCAATGGTAGAGAGTTGAGCATGTGGGTGCAGAGAGAACACAAAACCTGCCAAGGGCTGAGACCCGAAGGCTAGAGCCAGTAACCTCTCTGTTGGAAGGGAGAGGTACTCCTTTAAGAAGCGGCTGACTCTATCCCTGAGTTCTTGCCTCTCCCTGGGATGATGTTCACTTCCATTGTGTGATCCCTGTATTTTCCCGACCCAGCCACCATAGATGTCTTTTTTTTTTCCTTCTCTCTTAGAAAAACATAACTGTGTCAAGCTGGTGTTTTCGAAACGAACTGGTGGTTTCAGAAGGGAAACCAAAATGAAGTAGAAAAACTGTGAATAGCATAAAAATAAATAAATTACCAAAGTACAGGATTCTGATTAGAAAATTCTCATTAGAAAGCACATCTCAATTCACACTAGCTACTTTTCAGTTGTTCTGTAGCCACATGTGGCAAGTGACTGTGGTTTTGGGCAGTGCAGTTCTAGACCTTTGTTCACCTGAGTGTGAGCTCTAGGAACAAAGCCCACTGTGCCTCATCCCAGAACCTGGAAGACATCAGTTTCCTTCAGGGCTGATTTAGGCTCTTTTCTGTTATTGCTAGGGGGTGCTGGAGAATGGTGCAAATGTTATTACATTTAATTGTGTAGTTATATTACATTTAATTAAGAAGTATATTTCTAGCATACTTTAATGTTAGTGTAGTTACTTATGTATGTTCTCACATATGCTTCCATTAGTTTTCACATATTCTAGAAATGTAAAGTTTAAAAAAACTTTAATTTTTTTGGGAAATTATATTTAGATTGATACTGCTAGCAAGTTGATCTCTGATACAGGGGACTACCCAGAAAGCAGTAATACAGAGAAAGGAAGACATAGTAATGATGATAAAGGAGAAAACTACTCTGAGAAAATAAAATTGACCCAAGAGGGGTCAGATGAAGATGCAGATTTGGTTCAACATCAGATATTCCCTGAGTGTTCAGGTAGGATGCTCACTAGATGATTGGCTACTGATAATTACACCTGTTAAGTATATTTAAAGTAAAACATTACATGTGTTTTTATTGGCTAAGTAAAAATAATAAATAAATAAATGACTTTTTGGAGCAAGTAATAACTACTTTTATTTGTAAGACTATTAAGAGTCCTTAAATACACTTAGAAATATAATAAAATATGCCATTTAATAAAATTGTTATTGTGGTCATTTTACATTAATGAAGTATGTGCTAGTTCTGCATTTTATGGCATGATTAATATTTTTGATGACTAAAAGTATACAATAAAATGTATCTTATAATTTGTAAATGCCTTTTTAAGGATAATCCTACTCAATAACATTTGGGTTTCAAAAGATGAGGTTTTTTTCATGGTAATAAGTTGATTGTGGTCAGATTGAATTAGAACAGTACAGTAAGTCCCCTACATACGAATGAGTTCCATTCTGAGAGTGTTTACAAGTCCAATTTGTTCATAAGTCTAACAAAGTTAGCCTAGGTACCCAACTAATGCAATTGCCTATATAGTACTGTATTATAACAGGCTTATAATACTTTTTACACAAATAATACATAAAAAACAAACACAAAAAATAAGGAAAATGTCTTAAATCTTAAAGTACAGTACCTTGAAAAGTACAGTAGTACTGTACAGTAAAACAGCTGGCATACAGGGCCTGGCATCATATTCGCATCTTTGGAAGTTCTCAGCTTGAAGGTTTGTATGTAGGGGACTTACTGTCATTCTCGGAAAGTGGTGTGCAGAGGCCCTGTGGTGGAGTGGGGGTGTCTCTGAAACCCCTTCAAGGGCTCTGCAAGGTAAAAACTGTTTTCATCGGGTGTTATTTGCCCTTCTTGCTCACTGTATTGACATTTGCACTGATGGCACAAAAGTAATGGTGGACAGAACTGCTGGTGCCTTAGCATGAATCAAGACAATGGAACTGAATTGTACTTGTAGTCATTGTATTCTGCACAACCAGGCACTGGCGGGAAAAAGAAACAGCCAAGGTCATACTGAGTCCTTGATGAAACAATTTAATACATAATTGTATTAAAATTTGATCCTTGAATAGGCATCTTCTTAATATCCTGTGTGGCAAAATGATAAGTATACATAGTGTAGTACTGTTGTATGCCAAAACATGAAGTTTGTGTTGAGAAAAAGTATTTCTGTGATAGTTTGAGCTGATGGCTGAACTGTTCACTTTTTAAATGGGACCCCATTTTTATTTGAAAGAATGATGGACAAACTATTATCATTGAGACTTGGGTATTTGGCAAACTTTTTTTTTTAAGTGAATTGATCCTGTTACTTCAAGGATAACTACAAGCAGTGTTTGCTGCCAGTGGTACATTGAACTTTGAAGTGAAAAGTAGAATTTTGGAAAACTTGTATCTGTCACTGTGAGTTTGATAGCTTCCCAATACTTAGACTTTTGTTATAAAAGTTACTGGTGATATTAGCAAATGCAATTTAAAAATATTGTGTAATAAAATACATTAACATTTTGAAGGTCTGCATAATTCAGTTAACCTCTATTTCCAAAATGATCAGTGCAAGGTAAAAGATCCATTCAACATGAAATATAGATCCATGAACTTTAATGGAACAAATACAAAAAGCTCACTGATGTGGTTACAGATTTCACTTTACGACTAACCTTTAAGAAATTACCCCTATTAATTTTTTGGTGTAATATCAAAGAAGAGTATCCAATTATCTGAATAGGTTATTAAGTTTCTCCTCCCTTTTCTAATGAGAATTCAGCTGTTTGCTATTAATCCAGTTATTAAACATTTAAACAGTGCCACTATTCTTTAATTTTTTGGAGAACATAGTTATTTGTAATAAAAATGTGATATTTATATTAACATGTTATCAGTAATAGCATGTTTATTATTATGTAAAATGAATTGATAAGTAAATATTCACAATGTTTTTCAGTTTTGATTTCTAATATGATAATTATCAATAGATATAACTCACATAAACAAAATCTTTCTTGGGTTCTCAATAATTTTTTAAAGTTATAAAGGGAGCTGAGAAAAAGTTTGGGAACTGCTGAATTAGAGTATATTTGGATGAGATCAGTTCTCACAGTTAGGTCAGGTGACACAGGATTGCAGTTATCAGGAAGTAAGGTATTATAGTTGAGATTAACTGTTGGCCCAGTTTATTGTTTTTGTTTATATTGTTTCAGTACTGCATGAGTTACTTCAAAATGCCTGCTAGATAGACACCTAAGTTCATGGAACCTGGGAATGCTAGGATTGGCAGTTGGAACTCAGGACTAGAAGCTGTTGCATTTGAAGTACATAAGCAGTAAGATTTGAGGAGCCTCCTTATTAATAATATCAGTATTCTTTCTGGATAAACTTCTTTCTTCCAAAAATATTTCCTTTTTTTCCTTTAGGAGGAAGTGATGTACCTTATAGGGAAACATCACTGAACTCTTTGGATTTTCAAAAATTTGCTAAATTTGGCTTTATTTAGTACAACATGACAGCATTAATGATCTAACCTGAGTGGCTGAGACTCAGTACTTGAGCATTCATGCTTATTACTGTATTATCAACTTTCATCAGAGGGAGTATCGCTTGCTGGCTCAGAACTTTGGCTCTGGAGTCAGACAGATTCGGGTGGAAACTAACTCGTCATTTTCCAGTTATATCACCCTGGATATGTGTGGAACTCATTTCTGAAATAACTTCAGTTTACTAATTTGTAAAATGAAAACAATGAATAAATGCCATCTCAGAGGGTTCATATGAGAATTAAATGATATGTGTAAATAAAGGAGTTAAAATTGTTCCTATTAGGTAAATATAAATGTTAGTTATTATCGTCATCATTGATCAAATATTAATGACAGAAGTTCTAAAGAATCTTTAATTTCAAAAAATTTATCTATAACTCAAGAACCTTCAAGAAATTGGAACAAATGAAAGGAGCATTGAAAAAAGTATCTAGCTACATGGAGTGCTTGCTTGAGTTTGTTTCTTCTAAGGTTGGAACCACTTTACATATTGCATTTCGCTGCGGCTATTTGTGTACATGCCTTCTCTTTCCATTAGTCTGAAGCAGCTTTAGCATAGAGTCTGTGTCTTATTCCTTATACTGCAAGGAGGGACTCATTACTATAGAAAGTATAGCAGAATGAAGGAGAAAGAATTTGGAACTTAAAATCATAGGAGACCTGCTTCTCAGATCAATGCTATAATTTATTAGCTATTTGAAAGGTTCCAATTATCTTAATTGTAAAATAGAGGTAAATGTCTATTTCACAGGGTTGTTAGATAATTATATAAACAAAATCACCTTGTAAATCAAGATACATGTTTACAATGTAGTAGTTATTACCATCAGCCACAAATATGTGTTGAGTGCAAGAGCAAATAGTGAAAACAAACAAGCAAAAAACCCTTTGTGGTTTTATCAAACTTCAAATCCATTCCTACTTTCAACACAATATAGATGAACTCAAGTTAAAAGAATCAGATTCTCAACTTCAAGATGCTATTCAGAAGATGAAGAGGCTTGATAAAATACTGGTGAAGAGACAATATAGAGAAAAAGAAATTAAGAAGCAAGGTCTAGAAATGAGAATAAAGTTGTGGGAAGAACTTAAGGTAAGAAATGTCCAACTTTATGTTGACATGGAAAAAAGTTTCTTCTAAGATAAGTAAGAACAGCATGGACTGTGTGGTGTTAATGTGGTCTGCCTTTATTGCTTTATTTTCTGGAGATAGGAGCAGTGGTGTGTATGTGTGTGTATGACAGTGGCACGGTGGTGATATTTTTCTGGAACCTGAGAAGATAACTTGGTCTGCAGCATTCCAGAGTTTAGGCACTGCACTGGAATGTTCATTCCCCCATGGACAAGTGTCAGTGGACCTCTCTTACCAGTGTTAGGCTGGTGAAGTGCTGGACTCCTCTGTCTGAAGGGGTATGCTGGCTACTTTCCTCAAGTATGTATGCCAGCTTTTTTCCCAGCAACCTTTCAGTTTGGAGATAAATAAACAAATATACAAAAGTTTAACCCCCTAGTTAGTATTATGACTTGAGTAAACCTTTGTGACAAACAATTCAGGGAGTTGACTATTTCTTGTGCTGGTCTCTTGTGCTGGTCTCTTGTGAAGATCTCTTCAGGAAGCTGTAACGTGCGTGAGGTTTGGGACCATGTTCCACTTGTTTCTGCTTCAACAAATTTCTGGTGCTTAATTAACCTTCCTTGGCCTTCTTGGACCCTTTATTCTCATACTTTTGAAGTTGACCGGATGCTGACATTGACTTGGTGTATAGCCATTGGCTCATATTTGAATTTTGACTCTTAAAAGAGAGCACCTTTAAGGTAATAAACCTGGTAATAAGAAATTGGTTGTTTTTGATAAAGCCCACCTTCAGCAGTTGACTGACCTCAGAGGAAATTTTCTAGGCAATAATATCAATTAAAAATGAAGTAATTAAAAAATATTTTTACAAAGTTCCCGGGAAGGCTACTTGGGTGGAAAGAAAGCAACATTCAAAATGCAGTGCTTTAAACTATAGAAACCCTTTGGGTCCTCTCCCACCGTGGGAGCTTTTCTAGCCTCTCAATAAATCCTGCTTTCTCAAAAACAAAACCCAAAAACTACAGAAATAATTTCTGTAAATTTTAGCAGAACAAGTTAGCCTATCACATTTTCCTGTTGAATCTCAAAGCAAGTTTAATTTCCTTTGAAACAAGAGTTATAAACGGAAACATAATAAAATACAATACCAATCTTGAAGCGTCTGAAATTTTAATCTGATGGTGTTGCTTTAGCTTACTCATTGGTTATAAAAATTTCAAGCAGAAACTTCAGGTACTTTAAGGAAGGTAATTATTATATAATGATAGACATATACTCCAACTCTATATGAGAATACCCATTGATAGAATTTTGCAGGAACAGGAGACTAACAAATTTTCTAATTAAAGGAATAAAAATGGCCTGGGCCTTCTTGTTTGTATATACATGATTAGAAACTATGTTGGAAAAAAAAAGAGTTAATGAATATAGTTGCCTTCTTTCCTCATGTTTAAATTTTATTTTTTCTTTCATTAGTCTGCAAAAAATAGTGAAGCTTCGCAAAGTAATGAGGAGATGAAAAATACAAAAAAATTTTTAAATTTGACCTCTGTGTCTGAAGAAACTGTTGGTGAGTAGATGGAGATGTGATTCATCTTTGTTTTGATCTCAGAGTTACAGAATATTTGGATTAAAGTAACATTTTCAGTCCAGTTTTTCTACCTTGTTGTTTGTGAGTTTGACTCTTCTTTGGGGAAATAATTAGGTAGGATTATATGAAACTACTCTGAGTTTAGGTACGTTTCAGTGTCTTTAAGCATTTGTATCTGCTCAATGGTGATGGGAGCTGGGCAGGGAAAAATTAGGAAATAGACATTGTAAGTGTCTGTTACTTCCTGCCTCTCCTATATGTTTCTAGACACCTGTTTTATGCAGACAGTCCCCTAATTGCTTAGGATCCTCTTACAAGGTATCACTCAGGCTTGCTTAGCTGCTTTCATAAAGATCTATTACTAATTTGTCCTCTTTCCTGTTCTCTCATAGTCCTGCTTTTTAAGACCAGCCAACTAAGTCTGCACATATATTTCTACCTTTCCCCTTTGTTTGTATGCATGTTTGTGAATGTTATTCTTCTTTTAAAACAGAAATGTTATGGAGTCATGTAGCCTTTAACCCACTCTTATGTAATGGTGAAAATTTTGGGGCTTGGAAACGTTTGGTATTTTTTGGCAGGATACTTTTGAAATCCTTTAACCTACATCACATAGGTGTTCATGAGTTCTGCCTGGGCAAACTGGCTCTAAGAAGGGGCCTCTGATTTCTCTGAGAATACTTTTGTCTTCTACAGAGTGAATATTAAACATTTTAGAATTGTAAGAACCCATTCAGACTACTGCAACCATTTGGAGTAGGCCATTGATATGAACGATATTCCTTCACGTTTATTTCTTTCTGGACCCAATATTGAGAGCTCAGAAGCTTCTTGGGCTTGAGGGATTTGGGTTTACATCACATCAAATATTTCTCCTTAAGAAAGTGGGAGTCTCATCTGAGTTGCCTTTTCTATGACAAAGGACTTTTTTTTTTTTAATGAACCATTCCAAGAATCTACAGGATAGATCTCTGTTTAAATTACCCTTATTGAAATTTGCCCTGCCATTTGTATATCCTAATTGAAACACCAAAAAATATTAGGCTTTCTATATTAAAATCATCGATCATTTACTTTCTGTATCTTCTATTTTATTTTGTTATAGAAGTAACACACTTATCATCTGTATTACAAAATATTGGTAAACCAAAAAATTACTATCACTTAACTTCTCAACTTGTGGAAATAATCACTATTAATATTTTGGTTTATTCTTTATCTTTTGAGGAATGTTTAATGCAAATATTTATATATTGAGAGAATAAAGATGTGATCAAATTATATATATAGAGAGATATTTATGTGTCTTTTACCATATATGTATAGTGTTTGTAACTTTTTTTCATTATTTGTATCTCATAAACTCCTTTAGCTGTCAATAAGAGTAGATTTGTGTGGTAGCTTGTTTCCAAGGTGGCTACCATCCGTTTCTTCTTTCTAATTATGTTCATTCTACTTCTCATTTAGAGATAGAGTCTATTTCTCTCTCCGTTTTTAGTCTTGGTTTGCCCGGGACAATTTTGACTGATGTGTTATGGCAGAATGATACTTGCCTTAAAGCTCTTGCCTTTAAGAAGACTGGGAGTGCAAACTAGTACAACCTCTGCTGAAAACAGTTTGGTGATTACTAAAAGATCTAAAATTGACCTTCCATACGACCCTGTGATCTCCCTACTGGAAATATACCCAGAGGAACTCAGAACACTCTATAGAAAAGATACCTGCACATGCATGTTTATTGCAGCGTTATTCATAATAGCAAAAATGTGGAACCAACCGTGCTGCCTATTGAAAGAAGATTGGATAAAAATAATGTGGTATATATACACAACAGAATATTACACAACCACAAAGAAGGACAAAATTATGAACTTCTCAGCAACTTGAATGGGCTTAGAGTCGTTAATACCGAGTGATCTATCACAGAAAGAAAGAACTGAGTACCACATGTTCTCATAAGTGAACCCTAAACAATTATCATAATACTATAAGAAAAAGGATTGGCACATTACACTGATACCCAAACCAGATAAAGATCCAACAAAGAAAGAACTGCAGGCCAATATCCCTTATGAACATAGATGCAAAAATCCTCATCAAGATTCTAGCAAATTGGAGCCAAAAACACATCTCAAAAATCATCTACCATGACCAAGTAGGCTTCATTCTCAGGATGCAGGGCTGGTTCAACATTCACAAGACCATAAATGTAATTAAATACATCAACCAATGTAAAAACAAGAACCACATGATTATTTCATTAGATGCAGAAAAAGCTTTTGATAAAATCCAGCATCCCTTCTTGATAAAAATTCTCAAACACCTAGGTATAGAAGGAACATATCTCAAAATAGTAAGTGCCATCTATGCCAAACCCACAGCTAACATATTGCTAAATGGACAGGAACTAGAAACATTTCCCCTGAAAACTGGAAAAGGACAAGGCTACCCACTCACAACCCCCTTGTTCGATATTGTGTTGGAAGTCCTAGCTCAGGCAATTAGACAAGAGAAGAAAATCAGGGGTATCCAAATAGGAAAAGAGGAAGTCAAGTTATTCCTCTTTGCTGATGATATGATTCTATACCTTGAAAATCCAAGAGTATCTGTCAAAAACCTGCTTGCACTGTTAAAGGACTTTGGCAAAGTCTCAGGGTACAAAATAAATGTGCAAAAGACAGGTGCATTCCTATACACCAACAACAAGCAGGCAGAGACCCAAATTAAAAGCACAATCCCATTCACAATAGCCACCAAAAAAATGAAATACCTCGGCATCTTTCTAGCCAGAGAAGTGAAAAACCTTTACAATGAGAACTACAAAACACTGCTCAAATAAATCCAAGAAGACACAAACAAATGGAAAAATATTCCATGCTCATGGATAGGAAGAATCAACATTGTTAAGATGTCCATTCTACCAAAGGCAATCTACAGATTCAATGCAATATCCATTAAGTCACCAACATCATTCTTCTCAGACCTGGAAATGATAATACAGAAATTCATAGGAAACATAAATGACCACAAATAGCCAAAACAATCCTTGGCAAAAGAAACAGAGCAGGAGGTATCACACTTCCAGACTTCAAACTTTACTATAAGGTTACAATAATCAAAACAGCCTGGTATTGGTACAAGAATAGGCAAATGGACCAATGGAACAGGATAGAAATTCCAGAAGCAAAGCCTCAATTTCTCAACCACCTCATCTTTGACAAAGTCTCCACCAACAACCACCAGGGAGAGGAGAACCTGTTCAGTAAATGGTGCTGGGAAAACTGACTGACCACATGCAGAAGATTGAAACAGGACCGCTACCCATCACCGTACACAAAAATCAACTCTAAATCGATCAAAGACCTAAACGTAAAACCTCAAACTATAAGAATCTTAGAAAACGCAGGAGACACCCTTATGGAAATTGGAATTGGGTTCAGAACCCTAAAGGCCAATGCCTTAAGAAATAAGATAGACAAGTGGGACCTCATCAAACTAATGAGCTTCTGCAAAGCAAAAGAAACCATCAAGAGAGCAGGGAGACAGCCCACAGAATTGGAAAATATTTGCCAACTGTATATCTGACAATGGTCTAACATCTAGGATCTTCAAGGAACTCAAATGCACCGAAAGGAAAAAGCAAACAGCCCTTTTTAAAAATGGGTAAAAGACATGAATAGACACTTCTCAAAAGAAGATATACGGGCAGCCAACAGACACATAAAAAAGTGCTCAGCCTCATTCATCATCAGAGAAATGCAAATCAAACCCACAAAGAGATACCACCTAACCCCAGCAAGAATGGCCATCATTAATAAAACAAACAACAACAGATGCTGGAGAGGATGTGGAGAAAAAGGAGCGCTTCTACACTGCTGGTGGGAATGCAAACTAGTGCAACCTCTTTGGAAGACAGTGTTGCGATTTCTGAAAGAACTAGAAATTGACCTTCCATATGACCCAGCAATTCCCCTATTGGGAATATACCCGGAGGAACTCAAATTATTCTACAAAAAAGATACCTGCACACGTATGTTTGTCGCAGCTCTATTCACAGTAGCAAAAACATGGAGCCAAGCGAGTTGCTCATCAAAGTTGGACTGACTAAAAAAAAATGAATGGATTTGGATTCGATCATACTCAGTGATTTATCACAGAAACAAAGAACAGAGGTCCATATGTTCTCACTCATAAAACGGACCTTGAATACTTATAATACTAGAAAGTGATTGGCAGTAGTGGGAAACTGTGTGTGTGGGGGGGGTGGGATTGGCAGTTGAGGGAAACTGCTAGGGTAGAGAGGGGCAAACCTCATCAACAAGGGTACGTGCATGATCAATGTTTATATACCTAACCCTGAATTGTACCCCACATTTTTATAATAAAAAAAAAAATAAAAGAAAAGAAAGAAAAAGGATTGGCATTATTGGGAAATGGCCAGGGGAGGGAGGCGGCGGGATTGGTAGTAGTGGGAAACTGCTAAGGGGGGCATACCTCATTAACAAGGGTACCTGTGTAATGAACATTTGTATACCTAACCCTGAATTGTACCCCACATTTTTAAAATTAAAAAAATGGCATAAAAAAAAGACTGGCAGTTTCCGCTTCTCTTAGAAGGCTCACTCAGAGGGAAACCAACAATTATGTAAGAAGTCAGGCTACCCTGAATCTGCTCTGCTGTGAGAAAGCCCAAGTAAGCCATATGGAGAAGCTATGCAGAGAGAAAATGATGCTGACCAGTTCCTGGCTATAGTGATTTCAGTAGTGTCTCCCTCAAATCTGTGTCCACCTGGAACCTCAGAATGTGACTTTAGTTGGAAATAGGGTCTTTGCAGATGTAATGAGTTAAGATGAAGTCATTTTGGATTAGGATGGGCCCTAAACCCAATGGATCACCATTCATTACCATCCTTAGATGACAAGGCAAGAACATAAAGAGACTTAGAGACACAGAGACACAGGGAAGAAGAAAGAAAACA